AATCAGGTGTTTATATTTTGATAAGAAAGATACAAATACCTGATTTTAATATATATATATATATATATATATATGTCATGCTTACTATGCGGAATGATTATTTGTTGTTTTGCTTTTTTTTTTCTTTAATTTCAAAATCTAATATCTTTTTTTAGTATGATATATTCTTTTTTTTTCTTGTCATATTTCAAACAAACACATATTTTTGACCTGAAATGGACGGATAAATAGATGAATTTAACAGTATCCCTCGAGAAATTAATATTTGATTATTTTGATTATTTGATATTATCATAAGAAAATGATAAATATGTTGTACTTATTGATATATCAAAAATTTACAGGCATTATACATTATTGATAATTTCCTTCTTTTTAATAAATTAATTATCATCAAACAATTTTTTTTCCCTTTTTTTTTTTTGTTTATTTAACTAATTTTCAATAAAAATATATTTCCCGTATGATAATGAAATTAGTCATCAGCAATTTTTTTTTTTCTTTAATTATGTAATTATTTGTTTGTTTTTTCTCTCATTTTTTTTCTTTCTTTTTTTTTGTTTTTTGAAGATATTTTTTGACAGTTTTATTACAGTAATTGTTGAAATTTTATTTTTTGATATTTTGACTTTCTCATCAACCCTCAAAAGATATCTGAGAGAACTCGGAAGTACTAAATAAAGTAAATTCCTGATCACATTCCATTATCCGTCCTATTTAATTCAATCAATAAATGCAGTAGATGATAACAATTTTCTCTTATCATTTATCATTTTTTTTGTTTTTTTTTTTATTGCTTTGTCATTTCATTTGTATGTGTTGGATGAAAATTTCTTTAACAATGAAATATCAATAAGTTTAGAGATTTTGAATATCTGATAGATTACATTAATGATGTTTGTATTCTACGCTTACTTTACCTATTCTTTACTTAAATCGTACATATATTATTACGGGAATATTGTTTATCATTGGCCTATATTCATAAATTTGTTTATTGTTATCATCGTTATCAGTTAACTCATCCCTTTTGTATTGATCATCATATGTGTGTGTATATGTGTATGTGTGTGTGTGTGTGTG